ACCAGTAGTTATGCATATATTTTGATTTTTCTATATATATTAAGAGAAATCTATACATTTTAACCCTAATTAGCCTTGGGTTTAGGCAATAATTACTCTTGGAGGTAGTGGATCGCGATCCGCTACACTCGTACTGGTCCTTGTGAAGATCGTAAGGTCGGTGACTTAAAATACGCTTCCTCTAAGCGCAAAGCTACGGCAGCCCCGCTGCATCGATCATGTGCGATGCACGAAATAGAACGATATTCAGATTAATTTGATAGATTTAAATGTATAAAATGAAATCAACCATCTTGGACGCAGCAGAATGTGGCGTTGGAGATTTACCAATATGCCTCTAATTTATGAGGCATTACCTCGTATGTACATTACCTGATGGTCGACATTGATTACATAATATAGTAAGCAATACACACATGTGCCAATTCCGTAATCCTTCTATATTTCAACTCTAAATATACTAAATTCAGACTGCAAACTTAAACTCAATCAGATCACAATATAATGAATGCCTTTGATCTCGTGAATAGTATGAACGACTTGGAAATTACCAGACTCAATTTTTGTTGAAGTATTCTTGGCCTTAGGTAGGAGTGTCTAGACCCGGGAAGTAACATCAGAGAAAACGTCTCAAACCGAACACTTGGCGACCGCTCGTAGAGCGCTTTCTCTGGAAATGCTCTGTTTTGGGATGGCCATGATCCCGAATAACTTGACTCATTACAAGTAATACATTTTATTATTCAATAACGTGAAAGGTTCAGTTTCGTGAGAGGCTTTTGAATTGAGACGCTCAATACAAGTAATAAACCCGTTTTCTGTGCATGTTAAGCGCACATTTCAAGTTATAACCTTTGTCTGTCTTCCAAATTTGGTGAGCGCGCTGCATTTGCTTGCTTGGGAAGTAGTCGTATACACGTTATTGGGGAATCATACAGGCTTTTGCTATCGGACCAATACATTAATATGATTATATTAACAAATATCCTTGGGCTATAATATCGTCTTAAAAGTTATTAATCTTTGAAATGCTACGAGCCTTATCAATCATCCACAGTTTGCCTGAAGTTGATCCAGCGGCTGTGGATTGTGTTTTCAACGCAAAATACGACAATTCGGATTGGTAGATAAGGGAGATATCCCTACCACTAACGCTCAACTATTTCACAATACTTGATTCGGTACTTGTTGATCCCAGCGCTATGATTCGTCATTCCACAACTTTATGGTCCACATCAGCTTCATTAGTGCCATAATATCTTTTACATACATGACCTTATCAATTTGTCACTTAGAATGCGGTCAACATGGTTGAGATCCTTAAACGCAATCAATGTGCCTCTAACTCTTTTTACCAATTATCTGCTTAAGTATTCAGTCTGATTTCTTGCAAGTGCTAGCTACATGACGGAACACCATGCACCACAAGATTCCAGGATAGAGGTGTCACCTCCATTTGCCAGTATGATCACTAGTAAGACTATCCAAGGACCTCTTCTTTCGAAGTCTCACTGTCACAGTTCTTCTGCGACGAATTTTCATGCACATTGCACAGTAAAGCTTTGACTTTATAAGCCGCGTTAATAAACGCACAGAAAATGGGATGGCACACTCCTACCAGAAGCGGAATTGAGTGCTGGATATCAAGGGAAAAGCCAGCATACGTAGGCGACCGGAAGTTAGATCCCCATTGGCCTTTGCGGATGCGTCGATTCGACAATATTGAAGGTATGATTTTGACTAGGTCTTGCCATTGAGACCAATCGACCAACCAGATCTGGCGTAGGCGCGTGCCTTTGTCGGACAGCGTGTTTTTGCGGTTAACGTGTAGTGTGCGTGTAGAGTCCAGCTAAAACTCCTTGAAATATATTTCTCACTTTCACTTCTACCTTCATCAGCACAAGTGTCAGACCAATAGGTTGCGAACCCGATAGACAGCGCAGCTACGGAGGCGGCCCCCGACTCCCCCTCGCCCACGAAAGGGGCGAAGCGCTAGAGGAAAAGAAAGTCGCGCCGGACCTTGGAGGACTTGTGGAGCTGATGACCAAGCTCGCTGCCAAGCTCAACAGCTTGGAGCGTTCACTTGGGATGCAACAGCAGGGCGTGCCGATTACGCCGCCCAGACATGAGGCCGGGCTTGATCATAGCGTATACCGTATAGCATTGCAGCAAGGAGTCAGCCTGGGTATGCATCGCATGCAAATGCATGAGCTTGGCGCTTTAAACTTCGAAATTGGTGTGCAGACGCCAAGCGTACATGGTTGACTTTGTGATGGACATCAAGCGCGAGGTGTACCATTCATGGCTCAAGGACCAGCGACACCACCGCTGCAGTATCCGGCCCAGCAACCGGCTGCACAATATAAGCACACCAACCGCCGCCGCTGCATCTCAACGAGAGAGTGTCGCCAACCAAGGATGCGAAGACCTACATTCGCAACTTCGACGACAGTAAAGTCTGCAAGGGACTTGGGAGCGGTTCCAAGCAGTGGGCGCTGCTCTGCATCGAGCGGATCGCGATGGCGGAGCAGGCGTGTGACTACGCCTGGTCGGAACGGTACAAGGTGAACAAGTTCGGCCTCCATCTACGTGGTAAAACTGAGCTCTTCTACCAGCAATACAACATGCACTGGTGGGCCACACAGCCGACGCTTCGGTTCAAAAGGACGCTCTCGACGTAGCAGGGAATGAAGGTATTCGGAGCCAAGAAGAGCCCGTTGCAATCGTGGAATGAACACTTCCTGCACTTGAATGCTCTTATGATGGCAACAAACGCGTCACCTGCATTGATACTTGAGAACATCGTCAAGTACACAGACCCGGACTTAGAGCACGCTTTGATGGCCAGGTCACGCGAACAAGTAAACGAGTAGGTGGTGTGGGCGCAGATGATCGCGGATGAGAACCGAGCAATGAAGCATGTTGGAAAAGATGTCGTAAATGCGGTATCCGAAACATAAGAGAAACGCCGCGATACCCCAACCGCAAGAAAGTTGGACACCCAAAGAAGAACTACCCGGAGCGTCCCACTGGAAACGTCAAGCGATGCCCAAGCAGTGAACGTTAACAGCTGGTTTCTGGACAGCCGACATCTCGTCAACGACTCAGCGCTGCTGACAAACCTGGTCGAGTGTTATGTCGAGGACACTATGTTACCGGATGGTCGTACGATAGAAAATTTGATGAAAAATCCGATCAAATCAATTAAGTAAAAAAAGATATTTTGGATAGAAAATTGTTTAAATCGGATTTTTGATCGGTGATTCTGCGAGCGATTGTTGATGGCGTCACGACTGAGGTAGAGCCCAGTACCGTTTACTATGCACCGATCATGGCGCAGAACCTGATTTTATACGGACGGCTGATTGCTCTTTCACAAAGCGCAACGAAAGGTTGGCGTTGACGAAGATTGACCACATAGTGTTCTACGTTGACCTAGAGCAAGTCGTCAGCTGCGAACAGTGCAAAGATGGAAAACTGATTATGAAAGTGGTGAACCCGAGCACGGACACAGCCTCGTCTGTCGTCACCACGTACACCTTAATGGGGTTCCACGCACGCTTTGGTCGTCTGGCGCTGAACACCATCGAGCGCATGGGCGAAGGACCCCGCATCCGGTATCAAGATATCGAACCGTGAGAGGAAACCATGTATGGTTTGTGCTGAGGGCAAGCAAACTCGAGCAAAACAGCCGACTAAGGATATCGGAAAGCACGCACTGACTGACAAAATCGGAAGAGTCATTTGCAGCGACCTGAAGGGTCCGATGACACCGCTTGATCGTCAAGGTAAATCGATAACTTTGTGGACCACAAGTCAAACTACTGCAAGGTGTTCATGGCAAGAAAGAAGAACCTGGCTGCCAAAACGTTTGAGTACCATCTTGTTGAATTCTAGAAACGGTTTGGCTGTCGTGTACAGGAGGAGAATACCGAGACGTGGATCTCTTTTGCAAAGAAAACGGAGTGGTCCGTCAAGCGTCTGAAGTCGGAAACCAAGCTCCAACCGGGAAAGCGGAGCAGATGCACCGAACAATCGTCGATACGGTTTGGTGCATGGTGTTTGGTGCAGGATTACCGATGGGTGACGCAGCCACGTACGTACTGAATTGGAGCTCGTCACGCGCCAATGAGGCACCACTCAAGATATTGACTGGTCAAGCGCCAGCCCTTCGTGACATCGTGGTGTTTGGATCCAAGAGTTCTGTGTTTCGTGTCTTTGGTAAGCGCGCCATGAACAAGAGGGCGTGTGAGGGCGCCATTGCTAGGAAAGACGAAGCGACAAAGGGGTACAAAGTGTACCTGCCTTTGGAACGCAAGTTGATTGTCACGCGCCATGTCCAAAACACTTGCACAGTGGAGCGTACGCAAGCGCCAAGACACCAGCTGCTCGAATGCCCACGACGAAGGTGTCAACGGAAGTGTTAGGCACACCCCGCAGATCTCGTCGGCCGCGCCGCAAGTCACGCTGCCGTGCTGAAACTGATGGAGATGTGGAAATAAGCGAATCAAAGGTACAAATAGACCTGTAGCTTTGACCGTTTCCGAAGCGAATGACGTTAACCCGCATGCAGATGACCCGGAACCGAAAGATTATTGGCAGGCGTGCAAGTGTGCCGCGAGTGCACTGTGGGCGGCAGCTGATCAGGAAGAGCTCGTTGCTCTGCATGCCAACGACACATGGGAGCTCGTCGAGTGCAAGCCTGGTGTAGTTCGCTTGCATACCAAGTGGGTGTACAAGAAGAAGCGAACGGGCACTGGAAAGATTAAGCGGTACAAAGCTCGACTGGTTGCCTGCGCCAATGAACAGAAGCTCGGCGTAAATTTTCCTCGTGTTTTGCGGCTGTGATTACAATGAATATTCATCTTCGTCGTAGCGTTTACATGGGGCGTTCCTGCCAGACATGGTGATGTTCCAAACGCGTATGTAAAGGCGACAACGGAGGAGGGCATCAATATCTTTCTGTTCGTCCCCGACGGACTCGTCATTACAAAAGAAGAGCTTAAGGCACTCGGAGCTGAGAGCGTTAATGAAGTTGTACTGCTTCCTGGGAAGAACATGCACGGATTGAAGCAGGAAGGGTGCCTCTGGCATGAACACCTACATCGTGTGTTGGTCAAGCTTGGGTCTAGCCAATGTATTACGGATGCGTGGCTGTACTTCAAGGCCGACAGCGATGGGGGTGACGCTGTCTGGACATACGTGGACGACTTATAAGTGAATGGAACAAACGACGGCAGTGCTTCTTACTTCTTCACTGACATGGCTGTGCTGAAGCTCAAGGACCTCGGCATTACCAGCAAATATTTTGAGAATTCGCGTGCAGTACGATGAGCTCAATGGCTACAAGTTCGGCCAAGAAGCTGCTATTGTTGAGATACTCACCAAATTCGGTTTGGAGAAAGCGAATCCAGTGCGCGCACCGATCGGAGGAGAGTTCCGGCAGGGGCTGGTATGGCCAAGCTACATCCGCATGCGACGAAGGAGGCAGCATCGATGGAACCGACTGTTACTGGTTTTCAATCACTATTGGCGAGTTTGCTGTGGATCGCGAGATGCACGTGCCCGGACATCATGTTCGCTGTACATTTTGTGACACGTCAAACGCATGCGACAACGATGGCGGGCTGGAAGCTTGCTCAGCGCATCTATCGGTGCCTTAGTGGCACCCGATCGCACAAGCTCTGCATGTCAGGTGA